GATCCCCACCATTATATTCCTGCACATTGATAGTTGGTCCCTAGGGGGCGCTGTTCACTTACATAGTATAGAGAATGTAGTTCTGTTGTACATGTGTGTACATCTCATTCACTCCCTAGTAAGAGGGAGCCCAAAACAGCTATAACTACATGTAAAATCATCATGTCAACACAACACAAATCTATTTCAGAAGGTCTGTGATGTGAAGAGTAACAAAGATACGAGATATGAGTTGTACAGAGAGACTGCATCCAATACAACTCACCTTCAGTGCCTGCCCAACAGCCTTGATAATGAAATCATTGACAGAAACCTTTACACCAGAACCTTGGAACAGGAGGGAAAACTAGAGTTACTTGCATCAATGTAAAAGGTGGCCCTTAATGTGGCCCTAGCTGAATACAACCCAAGAGTTTTTCAAATCAATGCCAGTGACTATGTACATATTGTACACTACATTATTAGCAAGTTATATGAAACTTGTTGAATTACTTTGCTTTTACCTTTATCTCCTTAAGTACTGCATGGAAGCTATTGCTCACAATCTCTAACACTTACCTTGTAGCTTTTTCCTAAGTCTCAGTACTGAGTCCATCTCACAGTCTATACTGCTGTAGGCATGTGGTACTGTAGTCTGAAAAAAAACAGCATTTCAGTTATATGTTCCAACTATTGGGACCACATACTCAAGACCAACTTTGCACGGGATTTTACATTTGGATACACTGAAACAAGTGAGCATAAGTCATACTTTAGTTTAAAAAGTATGAATATCAGACACTACCTTTGATTGTGTGAGTCTTTTTGCTATTGTCCTCCTCATACTTGTGTGTGGGATGTCAACAAACTCATCCTGAAAAACAAAAAGCCATTCCAATTAAGAAAAACAATTTTACTGACTCAAGTATTAAAGACTGACACTTGCAAAGGATGTGAAAACGGTACAGTATCTCTTGATTTGGTCTTAAGACCAGACCAACTACATTGTGAAATCAAGATACTGCTGGCTAAATACATATACACTACACTCCACTCCACTACACTACAACTAATGTCCTTGACCATCTTTAAGTTTAAGTCTGATACCCTATGGAGGAGCAACAAATGGTGTAAGATTTAATGCATGTTTGCTGTGAACTTTCACAACTTGCTCATTGTCACTTTACACCTCATGTATCTGTTTGTGCTTACCTCCTCAGCTGCAGCAGGGGGTACTACAGGGTGTGTGACTGGGGGAGGGGGTGGGGGAGGAGCAGCCACAGGGGTGGGGGGAGAAGGCGTGGCAGCAGGAACTGAATCTTGTCTCTTGGCATTAGGGTCACCAGCAAGGAACTTCAGCACATCCCTGGAGAACAATATGTGAAAATCTAATCATTGCTTCTCTATTAGTCTTATGAATTTTATTGTTATTGAAAAATATATGTATCTTACATAGACAATTACAAGTGTCCTTTAAAAATAGTTTACAAGTGTAACATACATTTGTAATTCTGGAACATTGATGAAGTCATATATTACTGTATGTACACAGTTAGCTGCTGTTTATCTATCTCGTGAAAAAAAAAAGTTGATTCTATAGCAACTAAGGGTCACTCCATGTTGTCAAATTTCCTGTTCAAGGCTTCCAAGATATTAAGACAAAGTCAGATCAAATATTTTCACACACATGCTGGTATTATAAATGATTCTTTTGTTAATCCACATATGTTCTGTCTTATGTCTGATACTAGTACATATAAGAGACTCTGCATAGACTTGTAATTCATAAGCTGTTCACACACCCTTTCAGTAGTCTCCCATGTGGCCCACTAGGTACAATAGCTGCAGGGTCCAGACTGTTGGAATCTACCAAATACCTCACTGCAGGGGACAGGTCAACATGTCTGGAGGGACAAAAAACATGTACACATCAGTGGGGTATTGTGGAGACTTTAAAAACTGACAAAGAGAGTTAGAAGTTGCAAAGAATAGATACTAAGGATGTTCAGATAAAATATGTGCTTCATACACCTACCTACATTTGTACACATAGTTCTGCCAGTTCCAAAACAAACAGTGGACAGCTGCAGCATCATACAACCAAAATTTCATACAGTGTCATACAAGTTACACCACTGATTATAATTCTTCATGACCCCTAACCCTTACCCTTTGCCCCCTGCCACATGTCTCATGGATGTGAACTCTGATGATGAGGCTGCCTCTGTGGCCGCAGGTACAGGGGCTTTAGCGGGGGTGTCCGCTGCAGCAGAGGGAGTGCCTGTCTCAGTAGGGATGTCCACCTGAGTGTAGTCTTCACCTTCAGGCACCATCAGGGCTATCAATGCATTGATGCGAACATTCTTTGTGTTCCCTGGTACCTATAAGAGACAAGAGACATCAATTAAAAATGTCAGACATACATGTACCTTGACAATTGCCAGGTAACAGAAAGTATGGAAAGTCTAGAAAAAAACTACAATCCCTGGTCCACATCCTAACACTAGCCTTACATGATTACTTGTCATGCCTGTACTCATAACATGTCTGCAATGAATTCCTGTTATGAAAAAGATGGTGAGCTGCATTTACTACAGAAAGAATTTACAAGAGACTGCAACAAGAAAAACAACCCACTTCACCACTGCACTGCTCACCTATCATAATAACTACATTCAGAGATTGTTTGACAAAACTTACCAATATTTTGGCCATAACTCCATCATCATCAGCATCCATTGTGAGAGTTGCCTTGTCTGTCTCAATCTCACAGAGCGCATCACCAGCTGCCACTGGGTCTCCTATGATGTATAAAGCCATGGATCCATAAGAAGCCCAATATGTTAACAGATGCAATTTAACATATAAAACATGATCATATCAGGATTTTACAATATAAAATAGTAGAATAACTCAATAAGTTGAACCACAGTGCCAAAAAATAAAAGATAGTTAAATTTCTGACAGACTTTGGCCAACAATCATTTATTAATTTATGAGGCTGCTGTGACATGCTGAAGCAGCAGTACTAATATTAAATATACATGTATATTCAACCACATGTATAACATGTAGCGTTATATGTCATATGTGTGACAAACCTTCTTGTTTCAGCCATGAGATGATGGTACCATCCTCCATGGTGGGAGACAGGGCCGGCATGTGCAGCTTTATGGGAGCCACACCTAAACACAGATTACAGTAGATGCATGATTCTTATACATTAAACACATAGAAACAAGTTTTTTTTTTTTCAACTTTTTTTTTCTAGCATACAGCAACGTACATTTTGAGATCCAGGAGTAGAGAATGCGAGTTACAAAGTGCTTACAAAGTATGACTGGTTTAAATCCTTGACGACAAAATGATCGTGGTTAATGTTTCTTACTTAGATTGATGTTTAACTTCTAGGATGATGTAAGAATGTATGTGAAAGGACAGAGAGTGTGAAATCTTGCCCCTCCTCCTACAGAGAAAAAAAACATCTGTACGTGCAATAAAGGACTCCAGACGATGAAACTACCCACCAAATACTCTGGACGTCCCCCAGAAGTTCCTGTACCATTCTGTGTGGCCTGCCGGGCGTCCTAAGGAGTGAGAAGGCAGAAGTTTGGTCCGACCTAACGTCCTCCACAGGACAGAGGACGCCATGATGGCCTTCTCTCCAACTCAACTCTCGCAAAATCTCGTGAAGGTTCTACAGAACTTTCCAGCGTAAAACTGACAAATCCAGACAGATTATGAGTCAGATGAGTACATATTACAATCAAGTATGTATTTTTAGATGCCACGCGGCGTACTTGTAAATGCAGCAAAGGTTATTCCTT